CCCCGTGGCTCGATTGCAGCAGATGTCTCTCCAGCAACTGGGGCTCATCCCACAATACCGGTGCGTGTGTGTGATGCAACAGACTGCCGCATGTGGGCAGTGTGACAGTGGGCGAAGCAAGCAGCAGTGAGAGAGGCAGTCTGCAGCTGAGCAGAGTGGTCCTTCAGACCCCGTGAGCAGCAGTGAGGAGAGTGCAGTCTGCAGCTGAGCAAGTGGTCCTTCAGACCCCGTGAGCAGCAGTGAGAGAGTGACCCTTCAGCCCCATCCCCCGTGAGCTGACTTTTGAGTCGACTCAAAATTCAACCCCGTGACCCGTGAGCACCGAAGCAGCAGCAGTGAGGAGAGTGCAGTCTCCAGCTGAGCAGAGTGACCCTTCAGACCCCGTGGACCCTCCAGCAGCAGTCAGCAGTCCCTGTGAGCTGACTTTTGCAATCCCCGTGACTCGATTGCAAGACCCGTCTCTCCAGCAACTGGGCCTCGCGCCGCAGTACTGGTGCGTGTGTGTGAATGCACCGCTGTGTGTGAATGCACCGCTGTGTGTGAATGCACCGCTGTGTGTGAATGCACCGCTGTGTGTGAATGCACCGCTGTGTGTGAATGCACCGCTGTGTGTGAATGCACCGCTGTGTGTGAATGCACCGCTGTGTGTGAATGCACCGCTGTGTGTGAATGCACCGCTGTGTGTGAATGCACCGCTGTGTGTGAATGCACCGCTGTGTGTGAATGCACCGCTGTGTGTGAATGCACCGCTGTGTGTGAATGCACCGCTGTGTGTGAATGCACCGCGTGTGTGTGAATCACCGCTGTGTGTGAATGCACCGCTGTGTGTGAATGCACCGCTGTGTGTGAATGCACCGCTGTGTGTGAATGCACCGCTGTGTGTGAATGCACCGCTGTGTGTGAATGCACCGCTGTGTGTGAATGCACCGCTGTGTGTGAATGCACCGCTGTGTGTGAATGCACCGCTGTGTGTGAATGCACCGCTGTGTGTGAATGCACCGCTGTGTGTGAATGCACCGCTGCACGTGGGCAGTGTAAGGATGGGATGACGATGCAGCAGCAGTGGGGAGGACAGACTGTCCTGGTGAGGGTGACCCTGTGACTCGTGTGCAATAGATGTCTCTCGTGAAAAAAGAAGAGTTTTTGAGACGTCTCAAAGCACATTTGGTGAATCATCCTTGAGACGAGTCACAGGGTCACCCTGTGAGTACTAATGAGCCATTTCCACACATCTGTAGCTGCACCTATCTCTGTCTGCACTTCACCCCTTGCGATGGCAGTACCATTCCTGCTCCGTGCATGTGACACAGGGCTGAGGGCGGGCGCTCAATCCTCCTCAAGCACGCCCTCTCATTCTCCCTCAGGCTCACGCATTTGAATGCGCTGATTACACACACCCCCCTCGACTGCTTTGAGACGTCTCAAAATTCTCCCTCAAGCCCAAGGCGTTTGAATCGGCACACACACACACACACACACACACACACACACCCCTCAACTGATTTCTACTCACCCCCTTCCCCACGCCCGTCCCACCTTGTCCCAGCACCCTCTTTCGCCCTGGCCCCATTACCATGTGAACACCTTTAAGGCGAGAGGCACACAGGGGAAGGGCTAACCCGCAGACACTGAGGTGATCTTTGAGACGCCTCACAACTCGCCCCCCCACCCCACGCCCGTCCCACCTCGTCCCCTCGCCCTCAGTTCGCCCTGGCCCTGTCACCATATGAACACCCTTAAGGCGAGGAGGCACACAGGGGAAGGACAACCCGCAGACACCCCACGTGACGGAGCGGTGCGAGTGTATACAGCATGGAGAAGGATGGGCACAGGCATGGGGGCCTACCCTGCTCGAGAGTCCTCATTCCTCCTCTATCGCGCCCTCTCCCTGTCTCTAAGTCAGTGTTGTTTGAGCCGCCTACCCCCCCTTTCCCCCCTCGCCCCCTCCCTCGCCCCCTCACATTAACACCTTTTCGCACCCAAACAGGCATACAGGGACGGACAACCAGGGACAGCACACATGACTGAGCGAGTGCGAGTGTATGCGGCAGGAAGAAGGATGGGCACAGGCATGGGGGCAACAGTGGAGGAGGCGAAGAGAGACGGAGCAGCCAAGGCACTGCTAGCATGGGGTAAGGTGTGGTTTGGGGGAGGGGGGGAGTGAGGATGCGGAGGAAGGGATGAATTGAGGGGAGAGAGAAGAGGGCGTTACACTTTGCGAGATGGAGGTGCCTTTTGAGGCGCCTCAGAAGTCGTGCGAGATGGAAGTGCTTTGCGGTAAGGTACTGTAGTTGATATCATGCTGTGGCTATTTTTGGATCTGCCTTGTGTCCAGCCCATGTGCTGCGAGATTCATGAGCGTCAAAGTGAGTTACATTCGGCACTGTAAACATGTTTACCGGGTAAACTGGGTATGATGCGAGTCCAAAATTGATTGCGAGTTACGGATAGGGTGGAGGAGTGCAATGCAAAGAGCATCCGGAAGATGGAAGATGTGTGTGGATGGAAGATGTGTGTGGATGGAAGATGTGTGTGGATGGAAGATGTGTGTGGATGTAAGATGTGTGTGGATGGAAGATGTGTGTGGATGGAAGATGTGTGTGGATGGAAGATGTGTGTGGATGGAAGATGTGTGTGGATGGAAGATGTGTGTGGATGGAAGGCGTAACCATAAGGTGGGCTGGGAGGCATTAGCATGATGTGAAAGGCTGAGGTGAGCTGGATCACGGAAGGCATTAGCATAATATTCCGCACATAGGGATGGGAGGGACAGTACAACAGGCTGACGCTATTGCCATCATCCCAGAGAGACACAAGCACATATGGCTGATGCAGCAAAGCTGTTTCCACTCCATGCAACATGCAAATTACAACTACCCTAAAACAGGACGTGACTACCACCGATATGTTTAGAATCATCAAGCCTCTAATCATAAGACCATTCATGGTAACTTGGCGGTAGGTTGGAGCCTGTTATGAATGAACTTGCAGAGTGCGCAGTAAAGCGAATATCGAGAATGATTGAGTACTGAATTACTGAATGACGATACAATGAGAAGGGTACGACTAAATAGGGGAAGTCCTAGCTAGGCGGAGAGGTTGGGCTAGGATGGCTCGGTGATGGTTGCGATTGGAGCGGAGGCGACTCGGGAGTGGTTCGGTGCGACGAAATAGGAAGGACAGGTTCGTCGCGTGACCCTCGGGATGGCCTCGCTAACGAGTGCCTCAGTAAGGATTCCGTAAATCCTTACACTCTCCCACCTTCTAAATAAGGCAGTCCTGTACTGAAACGAACCCCACACTAGCAAGGATGCCGAAGATCTCCCCTTCAGCTGAATCCGACGGCCGAAAAGCCTTCGATTATATTTTTGAAAAGGTTGGAAGGTACACCGTCGATGTAGTCCGATTTCGATCTGACGGTCGACGAGGAACTAGCCCAAAATGAAGTTGAAGTTGGAATGTGGGCCGTTGATGAAGCAGATGTGGATCTGACGGTCGAAGACTGACGCGAGATTGGAGGAACCTGCTGACGCGAGATTCAAACGCGATGTTGCAGAAACCGTTGATCGTGAAGCAGCGATCGCAGTCGTCCGTCGTGCTGCTGCATTCTGACAAAGTCAGAAATTGAGCCGAGAAAACGCCGAGGAAAGAAATAGTGCAAAGCACTTTCTCCCCCCCTCCAAGAAAGCACACCAGAAAATGTTTCACAGCTGCGCCAAGATGAAAACCAACAAAAATCCAGGTGTTCAGTCCCACTGAAGCGAATGTCGAGCGTAGAAAGCCAGGTGAAGACTCGTCGGTGTGGAAAGTCGATTGCGGAACCGGGTAGTACGTGCCCCAAAAAGTCTTCAAGGGCGAACCCGCGTAAGTAGACCAGAAACCGCGGCAGAAATTATGCGTTGCTCGAACTGAACCTGTTTTTGTCTTCACACGCCAGAATCAGGCAGTATCTTCAGCAGATGCAGCTGGCACCACCTGACGTGTTTGAAATCAATGCAGTTGTCGTGGGCGGGTCGAGTGGATGGATTTGTCGCTAGTAGAGTTGGTGCGGCTGTATCCCGAAATCCTCTGGCCTGAGAAGTCGGGGTTGGTACGAAAATGTCGTCGGTGAAGGCGATCCGTCGTAAAGTCAAAGATCGAATGTCACTCCGAAATTGATGTCGAGCACGATCTAGGGTCAGATGATGTCAGCACCTCCAGCGGTTTTGTCCAGACTCGCCGAGCCATTTGTCGTAGTGCGCCGAGGGCTCCTGGGCAGGGATGCAAAAATGCAGCTGTCTCTCCCACCCCTTCACTGTTGATGCCGCCTTCTTCAGTTCGTCGTAAGTCGTTCGTACCCTTGAAAACTCCGTGTAGCTCACGCGTTATTTCCCAACGTCCTTTTCGCGCGCGTTAACCAAACGCCGAATGCTCCTCCGAAGTTGTCGGCGCTCCTTGCCTTAAAACCTGTAATTCTCCACGTAAACACTCCGAAATTGTCGCTCGAATCAGACCCCGTAAATCCGCAGTTGCAGTTGTCAAACATTATATATGTTGTTGTTGTTGTTTATGCTACAGTGGGTTAGCCTATAGGGGGTACACATTCCTAGGTTTTGATACTTGTACTCATTTCACTCTTAGTTCATTCATTCTTCTTCAACATGGTATCAGAGCAGGTCCTGTCCTAGCCTTCGATACTGAGGACCGCCCAGTGAAGTTCGACACCTGGCTTGATGACCTATACCTCTTCCTACAGCTCACTGCCAAGGAAGACATCTCGCTGTACGATCATGCCTTAGGCCACGCTACTGCTCCTGCTGCTACTGCTGACAGCACTGCCCGCTCACAGTGGCAGACTCGTGACGCCCATACTCGCTTCGCTATTCGCAACTCTCTGCCAATAGATGAGCGCGAGCACTTTGGGCAGCACAAGACTGCACAGGCACTGTACACTGCTGTCGTTGCCCGAAACTCCTCGCCGGCCTCTGCCGCTCTAGGCCGTCTCTCTCTTCCCTACCTGTTCCCCGACCTAGCTTCCTTCCACACTGTCGCTGATCTCATTACCCACCTCCGCACTAGTGAGGCTCGCTTCCGCGCCGCTATGCCTGATGAGTTCCTTGCCAAGAACCCACCCCCGCTCTGGCTCACTCTCTACCACCTAGTCACGCGCCTCCATGACACTCTGCGCTCAGTCAGGGACCACTTTCTAGCTCGCTGCCCCAACGAGCTCACCATTGCCCTCCTCGAGAAGGAACTGCTTGCAGCTGAGGCTAGCATAGTCGCTGTAGGTGCCTCTCGCGGTGACCCCCGTACCCCGTTCTTTGAGGGGTGTTCTCCCTCCCCCTTCTTCCCTCTGTCGCCTCTGCTGCTGCTGTCGACCTCCTTGGTGCTGAGAAGGTCGGGATTGCGTCTGCTTCGAGTGGGCGCCGCAGCGGCAAGGGCAAGGGGGGCAAGGGCGGTGGTGGTGACAGCGGGGGTGGCGGTGGTGGGGGAGGTGGTGGTGGCGGGGGGGGTGGCGCGGGTGGGGGAGGTGGCAGCAGTGGGGGGGGGGTGGCGGCAGCGGCGGGGGAGGTGGCCGGGGCGGAGGAGGTGGTGGGGGTGGCGGTGGACGAGGCAGCGGCCGGGGTTGGGGTGGTCGAGGAGGTGGTAGCGGCGGTGGTGGTCGTGGAGGCGCTGGCGGTGGCCAGGGCCAGCAGCACACTCCGTCGCCCCAGGAGGTTCGTGAGTGGTACTCTCAGCACGGGGGGGGGGGGGGGGGGTGGCCTTAGCTACACGTACGTCATTCGCACTGGTGACCGCACTGGCCAGCCGTGTGGGGGACCGCACGCCACACAGCGTTGCTTCGCTCGTCTGAACGACGCTTGGCGTGTTCAGTTCCCTCAGGCCACTGAGTTGCCCCGCTGGGTTGATCTTCTGAAGAAGGGGATTGATATTTATGCTCTAGACTTTGATGCTATCCTCACTGCCATGTATGTGATGTCTACTAGTGGAGAGGGTGCTGAGTACCTGAGTGTCCCGCCCGACCCGGGCATTAGGACTAGTGCGTCTGCCGCTCCAGGTACTCGCGTGTCCGCTACCCTAGGTGCTGGCGAGGCTGCTGCTCTAGGTGCGTGTACGTCTGCCCCCCCTAGTACTGTGTCGACTGCAGCACTGCACACCTTCACACTGGATTCAGGTGCCTCTCGCTGTTTCTTTCGTGACCGCACTGCCCTTGAGCCCCTTGCTCGGCCAGTTGCTGTCTCCCTCGCTGACCCCTCTGGGGGTCCGGTCCTTGCGACCTCCTCCACTGTCCTTCCCTGTCCTGCGGTCCCGTCGGGCACACTGTCAGGTCTCCACCTCCCCTCGTTCTCTACAAACTTGGTGGCAGGTTGTGCACTACAGGACGCGGGTGTTCACCAGTTCACCCCTGCCTACGAGCGTGTCACACACTGCACGTGTGCCCGTACAGGCCGCCACTTGGCTACCTTCACTCGGCAGCCGGGGTCGGATCTGTACACACTGACTACTGCCCCCCCTCAGGTCGCTACGTCTGCGTCCGCGTCAGGTCAGCTGTCCGCCCCCTGCTCGTGTCGCTCTCTAGCGCACGAGACTGTCCTCTGGCACCACCGACTGGGCCACCCGTTTGTGCAGCGCCTTCGTGCCATGCACTCCCGGTACCTTGTCTCTGGTCTTCCCAGGGTCCTCCCTCCCCTCCCACCCTCGCCTGCTCCTCCCTGTCTTCCCTGTGTCGAGGGGCGGCAGCGCGCCGCTCCTCACTCCTCCTCGTTTCCCCCGACGACTGCTCCTTTGCAGACGCTCCACATGGACGTGTGGGGCCCAGCCCGCGTCCGTGGTCAGGGTCAGGAGAGGTACTTCCTGATCGTTGTTGACGACTACTCGCGCTACACCAGGGTCTTCCCCTTGCGAGCCAAGGGTGAGGTCCCTGATGTTTTGATCCCTTGGATCCGCAGAGCTCGTCTCCAGCTCAGCGAGCGTTTCCGCTCGGACTTTCCTGTCCTGCGCTTGCACTCTGACAGAGGTGGTGAGTTCTCCTCCGACCTCTTGGCAGCCTACTGTGCTGAGCACGGCATTGAGCAGTCGTTCACGCTTCCGGCCTCTCCACAGCAGAATGGGGTTGCGGAGCGCCGCATTGGCCTGGTCATGGAGGTCGCTCGTACCTCCTTGATCCATGCGGCTGCCCCCCAC